TAATGAGCACTTGAGAGAGCGAGATAATGAGCACTTGAGAGAGAGATAATGAGAACTTGAGATATATATATATATATATATAATGAGCACTTGAGAGAGAGATAATGAGCACGAGAGAGAGAGAGATAGATAATGAGCACTTGACAGAGAGAGAGAGAGATAATGAGCACTTGACAGAGAGAGATAATGAGCATTTGAGAGAGCGATAATGAGCACTTGACAGAGATAATGAGCACAAGAGAGAGAGAGAGAGAGAGATAATGAGCACTTGACAGAGAGAGAGAGAGAGATATATATATAATGAACACTTGACAGAGAGATACATAATGAGCACTTGATAGAGAGAGAGATAGATAATCAGTACTTGTCAGAGAGAGATATAATGAGCACTTGACAGAGAGAGAGATAATGAGCACTTGACACAGAGAGAGATAGAGATAATGAGCACTTGACAGAGAGAGATAATGAGCACTGAATAGAGAGAGAGAGAGAGAGATAAGGAGCACTTGACAGACACACAGAGAAAGATAATGAGTAGTTGAGAGAGAGAGAGAGAGAGAGAGAGCAGAAAAAAATGTAAGTGTTTACATCGCTGAGGTATTGCCTTTCCAATGACAACCATTTTGTCAGGATTAGCAGTACATACTGCAAGGTATCCCATGAGTTGATGTACATACTCCGGGTTATGCAAATTCAAGTTATTCTAAGTAAAATGTACTCAATACACATATGTTGATTTTTTGCTTTTATTTTGTTAGAAACTGAGGCTGCTTGTCAAACTTTGCATGTATTTTAATCCCTTCAAAAAATTTACCTGTGTCTAGTGTAACCGGTCATCAAAAATGCATAATTTTCAAACTCTTTAAAAAGATTACCTGTGTATAATATAACCTTCTATTTTTGGCATAAAAAAAACTGATCATAAAAACTTGCACTCTACTGAAGTATATATGGTACCCTCTAAAAATCATGTTTCAAATAATAAGAAATAATGTCCAATTAAGAAAATTCATTAATTGTTTAAAAATGATGTTAATAAAAATGTTTAAATAATCCACTAAAGAGATTGCTTATATGAAATGCTTGACAATCTATAAACAATATGGGTAATGATTTACACATCCTCACCCACAAAAGACCCTACCCATCATCCAAAGGATCTAAAACTAATCTTCCAGTTGTTATAAATATACTTGATTGCATTAGCACTCTTTTTTATATCATAGAAACTTACAAATAATACACAGTACTGAAAAAAAATCTGCTTGTGTTCATTAATTTTTAGGAGAAAACAAACATGATTAAATTTTCAGCTTTTATTCACTTAAGCCTTTTTCAGGCGTCTTTTGATCTGGGCAACCTCCAGGGGATTTAAACTATGAGGGTGGACTGTTCTTGTTCCACTGTCCTTGTCTAGGGATATCTGTTCGTTTTCACAGGACAATAGCTTAGTGGATTAAAGTGTTGCTTCATGAATTTTATGACATGGTAATCATGAGTTCAATCCCTTGGCTGAGCAGTACAGGATGAGATTAAGTGGAAACAGATCAAGCAATAACTGAGTAGTAAGAAAAAGAAAGAAATAAGATTACCCCCCTAGACAGGGAGATTGGAAAAATCTTGCCCCCCCCCTCCCCATAGGATAAATAAAGGTTTTGAAATTCCCGAAAGGTTCACTGTGCCATGCTAGACAATCTTTCTCACCTGAACTAATTTTACACATTTATAAGTCTACAATTCATTTATACATTGGTCTGGTGCTCCTGTGATATATTTAGAAATTCTTAATAAATTACAAAGAAGAATCTGCAATGTTATTGGCATTTCTTACCACCATAACATAGCTTCCCTGTCTCTTATTTATAAATACTTTCATCGTAATTGTTATGAAGAGCTTTCCTCTTTTGTACTTAGGCCTTATGAAGTGCAATACTAAATTGGCAGTTAGGTCACATCATACAGTTGAAATTACTAGCTGTAACTGTAAATTCTATGCTAACAGTTTCTTCTCTCACACTTCTCGCTTGTGGAACTCTCTTCTGGCTTCTTGCTTTCCATTCAACTTTGATCTTCAAAAATTTAAATGTAATGTCAATCTTTATTTTCTGTCTTCTTAATTCCTGTTCTTGTTCTCTCTCCTCAATGTTTTCTTTTTCTCATATTCTCTAACACTCAGTAGCTCCTTGTGGCTTAGAGGCTTTATTGCCTTGCTTGGGGGTGAAATTACCCCCCCCCCCCGAAGAAGACTGGTGGGCACAACAACCAAAAAAAAAAGAAAAAAAGTGAAGATGAGGATATTAGTCTGAAAGTCAGTTATATAAATAATGGTAACTTCTCAGCCCAGAAATTGAAACAGAAAATGTATGATTTTTGTGATAATTCACCAATTAGATTCCGTAACCCCCAATGAAATTGAAAAGAGCATTAAACAGCATTGGACTTTTTTTTTCAAATAGAAACAGGGAAAAATAACTCATGCCTCATTTGATAACACCCATAGACTCAAAACAACAGCAAATGTTAAAATATTGTTCTTAATTTACAAAGAAAAAAGCTAATTGCAATATGATATTAGATAAATATATTTATGTGCATGTAATTTTCAAATGGATTTTTTTTAATTCAGCATTATTACTTATTACTATAAATGTCAGCATACAGCAACCCCATGTTGAAACACTGGTTCTTGGACAATCACTGAAGTTAAGCAATATGGAGCCTGCTAAGTACCTGGATGAATGACCACTTAGCAATACCCAGTGTGTGGGTGGTGTAATGGATAATGGGTCAGAATTGTTAATTGGAAATCCAAATTCCAATACTCATTGGGCTCACTTACCTTTGGAAAGGTATGAATCCACCTTTCTTCCCCCTAGCTATGGGTTAATTAGTAAGACGTGTATCACTAAACCATTATTATCTCAAATAAAAAAGAAGAAATTTTTAGAATCTAAAAATATTTTCTGGCTTTAAATAACCTGCAAAAGGTTGATAACCCATAGAAAATGTATCAATCTATGAAATACTGATTAGCAACATAGGCATGTCTTTTATATTTATTTACATTCTCTGGAATAGAAATTTATAGAACCTACCGTGGACACAAAGTAAGGGATCAGTTTATATATTGATTGTAACATGCAATTAATCCTCCACCTTATATCCACATTATAATTTCTTGTTTGTTTTTCAAATTTTGGTTAGGTACAAATCCAACTCTGCTCTGCCAGCTATGGGTTAATTAGTAAAATTTGTATCACTAAAACATTATTATTTAAAAAAAATTCTTATAATCTAAAATTATTTTCTGGCTTTAAATAACCTGAAAAGGGTTGATAAGCCGTGAAAAAAGAACCAATCAATATAAGTGTTCTTTTTAGTGTATGCATGTGTTTGATTTAAAATCCCTGATTTTTTTAATTAATCTCTTAAACAGCGACTCAAGGCTGATTGCCATTAATTTTACTGTTTAATAAAAAAAAAAGATTGTCAACCCAAACATATGTACCCATTAAAAATAAAGTTTGTCATAATAAGAATCAATGTTAGATGAAAAAAATTAATTTAAAAATTACAGTGTTTACATTTTGGATATGAATATATATATATATATATATATATATATATATATATATATAAATATATAGAACAGATATAGAGTCCAGAAAATCGAACATAAGCTGCTCATGCCTTAAGTAGGTAACTGTGTCTTGCTTTTATTGATTGATAACGGCAATCTTCAGTTATAGGAGTGGTTTCCCTGATGGAAAAAGGTTCAATTTATGTTGGGAAGCACATTTTTCTTTAGTAGGACTTATCAATCTTGGTCAGTTGATATTAATTTCACTGCTTATGAAAATTAAAAGAACAAGGGTATCAGCTCAAGCACTAGCATTTATAGTAATAAGAAATAATGTCGATTTAAAAAAAAGATATCAATTTAAAAATTATTGTGTTTATGTTTTGGGTACGAAAATAAAATGAGCAGATATAGAGGCAACAAGTTTGAAAGCGACATGTGCATTCATTAAGTAATTAATTAATTAAGTTAATTGTGCCTTGCTTTTATTATAGTGGTTTCCAGTTGCCTAATTTGTAAAAGTGAACTTAACTATAGGAATGGGTTCCTGGATGGAAAAAGGGAATAAAGCTTCAGTTCCTGTCAGGAGGCATATTTTACTTCGTATGATCTGTCGATCTTGGTCAGTTTATATCAATTCACTGTTTGAGAAAAAAAAAAGCATGGAATTGATCCCCCCATTTTATATCCACATTATAATTTCTTGTTTGTTTTTCAAATTTTGGTTAGGTATGAATCCAACTCTTCTCCCCCAGCTATGGGTTAATTAGTAAGATTTGTATCACTAAAACATTATTATCTAAAAAAATAAATTCTTATAATCTAAAATTATTTTCTGGCTTTAAATAACCTGAAAAGGGTTGATAAACTGTGAAAAATGAATCACTCAATATAAGTGTTCTTTTTAGTGTGTGCACGTGTTTGAGTTAATTTTTTAAAATTAATCTCTTAAACAGTGACTCAAGGCTGATTGACATTAATTCTTATAAAAAATTAATTTTAATAAAAAAAACGGTTGTCAACCCAAACATATGTACCCATTATCAATTCAAAAACAGAGATGCCAACTCAAATGCATGACTCACTAGAAATAATGTTCCTGGTTATAAAATATGTTTGTATTTTTTATGCAAGTACTATAACAGTTAAATGTGAGGAATTTGGAATTATCAAGTTGAATGTAAATTTTGATTTGATTCTTTTTTGTTCACTTGACATTTTTATAAAAATCATCATCCTCCAGCTATGAGTCAAAATAACATGACAGACTGGGCTCACTTACCTTGTGTGGCAGCCAGTCTAGGAAAAGGAAAATTGAATTCAAAAACCCTGTCTTAAGTACATGTCCTGTCATTTGGATTATAGAATAAAACTTTGGCATCAGTTTTGATAAGTCTGACTGACTCTACACAAGACAGCTTATGACCATATCACATTGAAACACCAGTTCTTGTATAATCACCAAAGTTAAGCAATGTTGAGCCTGGTCAGTATCTATATGGGTAACCACTTGGGAATATCTGGTACTGTAAGCTCAGATGTGCAGGTGGTGTAATGAATAATGACTCAGAATTAGAGAGCAGAGTACCAATTCCAGTTGTGTTTGTTATAGTCACTTATGAGCAAATAACCTTGGGAAAGGTATGACTATACCTTTTCCCCCAGCTATGGGTTAATTAGTAGGACTTGTATCAATAAATCATTATTACCTACAAAAAATTCTCAAAAAATATTTCATGGCTTTAAATAACTTGCAAAAGATTGATAAGCTATAAAAATCAAATCAATCAATCAATCTATACAAGACTTCACTCTGTCAGTAGTCAAGTGGTTCAATTCTAAACTGAACAGTTGGATCCTTATACAGTAAAATTTGCTGGAGAATCTATCATTATGGCTGATGCTAACCTCCACAAAAGTAATTCATTGCATCTTCTCAGTCCAATAGTTTCCCCTGAGATGAAGTCAAATAATTATATTGAATTATTTGCTAGGTCTTCTGTTAGGAAAGTCGGTTCACTGTGTTGTGCTAGACAATTTTACTTACCAGTATTTATTTTGCACATTTATAAGTCTAGAATTTGAATAGGCATTGAATAGTCCTGCCATATCTTGTCTGGTGCTTCTGCTATATATCTGAAGATTCTTACCAGACTCCAAAGAAGAATCTGCATTGTTATCAGTCCTGACCTGGCATCTCAGCTTTAGTTGCTTTCCCACTGCTATAATGTACCTTCCTTGTGTCTTTTCTATATTTTCATGATAATTGTTCTGATGAGCTTTCCTATTTGGTACCTGGAGTTTAGGAATTTAAGTACTAGATTGGCAGTTAGGTCTCACCATTTTACTGATGAAATTGTAAGTGTAAGTTCTATGCTAATTGTTTCTTCTGTTGCACTTCTCACCTGTGGAACTCTCTCCCTGTTTCTTGATTTCTTCTCAAAAATTTAAATGTCATGTTTTCTATCTCCTCAATCGAATTTTTTCACTTCCCTTTGCTCTCAGTGAACCGCTTACATCTTAATCGCTTTATTGCCTTACTTGTGATGAAATGATTAAAAACATCCAGTTCTGGATTTAGATTTGGTGTGTCCTACGCTGTTTAAGGATGGGGGCCCTTTGTTAAAAAAAAACAAAAAAAAAACATGCCACAAGTTTCCACAGAATAACAAATATTTTAAGGCTCTAGCAGATTACATGGCTATAATCTATAGCTTATTCAACTTGCTGAACAGAAACCATAGTCTGAGGATTGCATAAGGCATGAAACAGACAATCCCCATCCAGTATTGATTTCTATGTCCATATTGTCTATGTCAACAAACGGTGAAATTGACAGTCATCATGCAGTGTTGATATCTACACTGAGTCTGCAACCGTATAAATATTGCAAATTTTAAACAATATATATTTGATCATCATGAATTCATTTAAACAAGTTGTATTAAATTCTACTGACAAGTTCTATCTATTTATCAATTTTTTTTTTATTGTATTATTCCAGTTTTCAAATAAGTTGTGAAGAACCTGTTCAAAGTTCATGTTTTTATTCAATTAACTACTCTTGACCTTCTGGTGAGAACTGTTCTAACAGAAGATGGAAAGTGTGACACCACAATCTGATGGCACATTGGGATAGCAAAAAATGCTTTCCAAAATCTAAGCAAAGTATTAAGAAACAGGAAAATTTCATTAGAAACAAAGAAAATAGTACTGAACTGTTATGTAATATTGGTCCTCCTATATGGCAGGTAATGCTGGACAATCTTCTCAAAGATGAAGAACAGACTTGAAGCAACAGAAATTTGGTTCTACAGAAGGATGCTGAGAATACCATGGACCAAACATGTGAGTAACGATGAAGCTTTAGAGAAAATGAAAACAAAAAGGAAACTTATACTTAATATCAGAAAAAAGACAGTTGAAATTTCTGGGGCACATAACAAGGAAAGAAGACTTGGAAAATTTGATACTCACAGGACACAATTAAGGCAAACAGGACAGAGTAAAACAGTGTATAACCAACCTAACAAGCTTGTGTAAATGATTAGCAGAGTAAAGTTTAGGAGAGATAGCAAAGAGACAAATTTAAGTCAATATTACAAAGAACAGTAAATTATGAAGAGTGATACTTGCAAAAGTCCTGAAGGGACATAGCACATATAAAAAGATGGTATATGTGTATCACATAGCTGGCATCATGTGTAGAATATTTTCAAAGCTAGACAACACTGGCTTTAAGAATAGAAATATTTTATACTCCTTTTAAATTGCCATCTCCTGTAGTAAATATTTTATTTCATATAGATTATTTCATTTGTATAATAATGGCTTCAAGTATTTTAAGTATATGTTGTAAAGTATTTTTGTTGTTTGTGATATAATGACTAACATATACCAAGTTCCAATAAGTGACAAGTTAACCTACGAGATAGGGAGGTGGTTGTATGATCAATGTAATCATTGCAATAGGTTGACCTGAAAAGAAAAAAACTTATTTTATTATGCTGGCTCATGATATGATATGACAATAAAAATTTAACCTTCCAAACTAATAATTTTTTTGCCTTGTTACACATCACAGTCTGGCAAAATAGCATCTGACACAAGTGTGTGTATGAATTAGATGTCACTTAATTCCTCCAAAAATTGTAGTCACTGATATTTTAAGAGCTTGTTTATGGAGACTAAACAATGAATATGAGCACAGTTAGAGGGTAATAAATTTCAGTAGTGCCAACAGTAATGCATATGACAAGCCATGTTCAGAAATACCAGAGAAATACCTAAAAAAATGCTTAAGCAGTGATGATGACTATATGATAAAACAGCATTGAAAAGTTGCTCTATTTAATGGTGGTATTGTGCTTCCTGTATCAGTTGATGTTTCCATGGTAACAAATAGAAGGAATCACTTTTGAAGTGCACAGTTTTGGCCAAATCATGCTGAAAACATTAATTCTTGTTTGGTCACCAAAATTAAGTAGTGTCAAGTTTGGTCAGTACTTAGATGCAGGACACTGGGTACTGTAAGCAACCATTTACAATCTGAAATATATTTTGTCTTTAACCTTTAACCCTTTACATTATTAATATCATTTCTCTTTCCACTGCATCCTTTTTCAATGCCTTTCAATTGCATTATCCTTGTTGTTAATTTCACTCAAAGTTGTTTTCTGTTGCCATAGAAGGATATGATAGAACAACTATGAAATTCAAACACACTATTGTTCAGGTAGAGTGACAAGATAAACCTTTTTCAAAGTTTTTAATGCATTTAAAGTTTCAAGTTTTTAATGCATTTAAACAAATTCAAATTCAGGGATCAGAGTCACTTTCAGTGGCAGGATAAACTTTTTGTACAAGAAATGAAGTTACATACAGAGTGATAAAGGTTAAATGACCCATAATGTGTTGATAAACCATAAAAAACAAATCAATTAGCATTTAACAGTGCTCCTTGTGTATGTATATTAAAACAAATTTTATTAAATCTAATCAAAAAGTTGATCTGTTTAAGTTTTTATCATATTTTTCAGTTTTCAAATACACACACACACACACACATATATATATATATATAATATAATATAATATAATATAAAAGGCTCAAACACTAATATTCCATGGTTATAATTTATTACATTGGAATTGTAATCACAATCCAATTCATCCTGTCCTGGACATTGAGTTCTACCTGGATTCTATCCTCTTGGAAATTTAGGTGTGTATATATATATATATATATATATTTGTATGCATCAGAGAAATAATACTTTAAAATTTCCCTTTCTCTGCCGTGCGGCAATAGCTTCGGGGTTGAATCTCTGACTGATGCTAAATGGGCTGGGTTTCCATCATGGCTTCAAGCAATCAGATGACTAGCCATGCTGATGAGCTGTGATACAGCAAAACAGACATGTATGTGGATGATATATATATATATATATATATATACATATACTTACACACACACACACACACACACATATATATATAAAAAGTGAACATTGAAGTCAGAACTTAGAGGTGACAGTTTGTTTCATGCTAGACGCAATCATTAGGCCTAGCATGAAACAGCCTGTCGCCCCTAAGTATTGACTTCAATGTTCACTTTTTATATTTACACATGCTCTATCTCTGATATTGAGCACTTTATCCCATAAATATAGCACACCTTAAGAGCATATTTCTTCACATATATATATATATATAAAAAGAATGTATAAACATAAAAATGTCTTATATATATATATATATATGTGTGTGTGTGTGTGTATATGTGTATGAAATAGGTCACAGATGAATTTCAATTTAAATAATTATAACCAAACACGTGTAATAATTAATCATGGGCAAAGTTCCAGTAATTGTATATTTAATTATAACTCATCAAAAAAAGTTTTAATTAACTGAATTTATGAAATCAAAGATTTTCTTTTTGTTTAAGTAATTGCCAAAAACCAGACAATTTATTGTTAACCAAGAGAGATTCACCCCAAAAAACAGTTTAAAAAATGGCATAAATTATGCAGCAGTTAATTGAACTGTTACTCAGAATGATTACTTGACTACTTATCTAAATGTAAAAATAGTCTTAGTCTTAGTTTAATAATATAATATTTAGCAATAAGTTACAGATGACTATAGAAAAGCACTGTTGATTATTTATGGCTAATTTGTTTAAATAATGCACTGACTATTGTTTGCATCACATTGCCAAAATTATAAGTTAAATAATGCACTAAAATAAGTAACCAAATAATCCTTTTAAGTTCTTTGAATATCAATGCCTTTTAAAAAAGAGAATCTGAATTTATAGCTTTTATTTCTTTTGCTTGTTTTAATCTAATTATTTCTGTCTAAGTAGCTGTTTCGTATATACCATTTCTAGTTCATACCATTTATGGTTCATTTTGAGGAGAATAACATTTCAGGTTAATTTTGAGCACCATACCATTTATGGTTCATTCTGAGAATCATACCAGTTATGGCTCATTTTGAGGATCATAAAATTTCAGGTTTATTTGAGG